CGTAGCAACAGACCTCAGATGAGCCCAGACGCTCTGCGGCTCTTTTTAATGTTATTGTGCTGCAATTATCTGTTCATGTCTGTAAGAACTGGAAAAACGTTGCTCTATTACTACAAATGTAAACAATGACAATTATGTTAGCCATTAAAGTGGCAAGTGTTTTGTAGATGTAAATGTGTAAAGTGTAATGCTCCAGCATTTACGAACTTCTACAAATTTTGCGACGGTGAATTTTAAATCATACATCTATGAGCGAACGAATTTGTATAATTATAAATAATTGTTTATAATATCTCTCTAAAAATGAGTTTTGAGGATTGCTGTGCAAACTTTCTCTATTTCTGACATTAAAGCTGAAACTATAAATATGCAGCTTTACTCTATACTATAGATAATAGATGTATGCTATTATGTACTACAATTACGGAATTTCGGTGTGTTAACCTTGTCTTCATGTTTCTAATATTATGGTCATGTTTCAGGTGAATGGCAAATATGTGATAAAGAGTGGGTCCGACTTCCGGCAGCTAGGCAAAATTACACTGACCTTCAACTGTAGCAAGGTCGACGTTACCGTCGAGGAGATTACTATTGACTCTAGCTTTGAAGAAGATCCTGCGATGAAACTCGTTGTTGATAAATATCTTGGTAAGTCATGGCTTGTCATTGATAAATACCTGCTTATCTAAGAATTAGTCATTGATAAAAACAAGCTTTTGTCACAATAAGTGGCTTATAAGTACTTGCTTATATTATATGGACAGTCATTCAGTTAGGAAATGATGGAAAGTGGCTTTTATAACGATTAACACACAGTGCACTATGAATAATGTGTTTTTGCTTTGTGATGATTTGCAGGTGTGATACAGGAACAAATGACAGGAGTGCTTGGAAGAATTGACACTGAACTAGATGGCAGGTTTACACACGTGAGAACCCAGGAAACAAACCTAGGTAGGTGACCAGAATGCTACTGTCATACAGAATAGATGCATTGCAGTAATTGATCATCGTTGCTCTCCTCTTTGCAAGTTATTTCACTTTACAAGTTATCCATAATCGGTAACAAGAGCTATACAGAAATACGAAAAGACCATTGGAACATTTTATACATTTTATCAGGATCGTCAAAGGACACTCTCTCTTAGTACTGGTAGTGATCATATAGTTGGCCTGCGCGTGATTACTCTTTACATTTAGAAAGAGCTATTTTCAATATTTCAAGAATGTTGAGTGAAATATACCCCATTTTTCCATTTTAACTGACTGAAACTTCCATTGGTAAAAAATGGTGTGGCCCTGCCTATACTAAATAGAACATCACTGAGATTAATATGCTACAAATCTCCAGTTTAACAGATGCTTTTCTTATGTTTATTTCATGGGAGCCAGGGCCAATTTGTGGCCTATATGTTTCTGTATTTGCCTAATGTTTTTGCGTTCGTGAGATTGGTTTTTACTTCACTGTTCTGTCAAATGTTTTAAAAAGAATGTGCATCGATCACAGACAGCGCAGTACAGCGCGTTTGGAATAATTAAATAATAAAAATTTTAAATAATATATTAT